TATAATAATACACATAATTTTTAAACACCATAGAAATGAAACAAAGATTTACGTACGAGTATATTTCCATGCTAAATATAAATCGCTAGTTTTCCATGGGCGCAATTATTAAGTAGCCTATATAATCTCTGTGTGTGTCATCTAGTTATACCGTTGGCAACTCCACCAATTCTTTAAAACGTAAACAAATGAATGATCCGAAATGTTCTAAATATGTGGGCCACAGGAAAATTGTTTCATAAGTTTGCAACACAAGATTAATAGGGCTTTCTTTTGAATATTTCAAATTGTTTAATACGTTTGGGTATTGATTAGTTTAATATTAGCACAGTTTTGTTCCAGTTTTACTTACACGTAGGTACTGGGCTTTTTATTTATAGGTAAAAAAACTCAGGTATTTTTAAATGTTCATGAATTTTCTGATGCTGAACGTATTTGCTATACTACGTCATGTACTGTTCTTAATTACTAGATATATTATGGGTTTTCCTCAAAATCAAGATAATCAGATATTAAAGCATATTTTACGAATTGTTACAACATTTTAGAGATCAGCATTTTTAATAGAATATCAATATTTTTGATTCTCTTACAGTCTAGTAGCTGTTTCCAGTAACAAGCTGACACTAAACGGGTCTACTGCAAGTGCGTGCGCCCAATACTTACCCGACTTATTTGAGGGAAATGCTGACTGTGTGAAATAGACGCACCGATCACCTTCTTTGACTTAAGGTTATATGTTTACTAATGGAGTCATTATTGTTCAGTTTTAATGGTTCATTCTCTCATGATTTGTAATTACGGCAGTTGGGAACTTGTTTTAGCTGTTACATATATAAAGAACCGAATTGTTAACAATCAAAGGTGCAATCAAAAAAGTTGTCGCCGATCGGATTTTTTTTAGAAATTCATTCATTTTGATCAGGATGCTTATAAGGACGTCACAATCAGTGGCAGTGTGCAAGCTCACTAAGTTTCATTACATAAAAATGAGAATACCTAAGTTTATTTTTATTATTAGTACCACAGAAATCAAAATAGAATACAGAAATTTTGTAAAGCTTAACTAAAAGTCTAACTACAAAAACCATTGCTCGCCATCGTCATTACCGCGCTTGTTTCATTCGACTTTCGAGGGCCGCAATAAATCCGTGAAACTATGAGTGTAGCCGGAATAACAGCCGATATCTAATGACAATAACAAAGGTTCCTCGACAAGGACCCCTAACATTGGAACAGTGAAAGAAACATTACGCACCACGTAACTAAAACAGTTGGAAACTCTTGATGACTGGCAATTATTTAGCGGAAATAAGTTCTGCGCTGCGGTCGGCGTGCCGTTTGCGTGCGCGCCGGTACCCACGCGATCACAACGACACCCTAACCACAACATTGCCGACTTTCTTTTACAACTTACCGTGCCACCATTAACCCAAGTGGTAATGTATGAAGACTACGTAGCTTCAGCGATATACACGGCCAATAAACAATAGTTTTGACAGGCAGACAGGTGTTAAATTTATAAGTTGGCGTGTTTATATCTCGCCGCGATTGTATCGCCCTAAGTATCGTGGAAGCGCCTCCGTCGGCTGTTTAGTGCTGTTCGGCATTTTATTGCGTTCATAAATGTTAATTTTATGTAAAATTCTCTGGATTCTTCCACTTTTTGTTTGGTGTTGCGGGGTGCGGCGCGACCTTATCACTGAGCACGATATCTCTTTTAAATGGTCTTTGTATCAGTTTTATCTGATACTTACATTGACACTTACTTTTATGTCGTATTACCTTCTAGTCTGGAAAGCTAATCAACAGGTGTAAGGGTTTTTAAACTGATTTATTTGGTCATAAATCTCAGCGATAGTTTGTCGCCCTGAGCCGTGCTGGTAGGTGCTCGCACCAGTTTCTATCACTATTTAAGTCGGGGGATCTAGGACTAAAATACTTCATGTTTATCTACGATGACTTCACTTGACACGTCACATAATCCCCTTCTATATATCCTAGAATAGAATACGTACAGATAAATAGAGCATGAGAGTTTCTCGCTCGACATGCTATCAAATCTATTTTCCAGTTGAAAACGTAGTTAAAAGAAAAAATAACAGAAAAATAAAACGCGTACGTTAAGAGTAAACAAAAATAAGATTGAAATGTTCCACTCATATGAAAGAAAATCTTAAACACGGAAACGTCTCGTTCCTGTTTCCAAAAACGCATGCATTTACTCCACTTGAGGTGAACGCACTCTCATTAAAGGGCCACTGGTTGAAAACTGAAAACGTTATCCATCGACGCTTGCGTACGAGTCTTATGAACTTGTGACGTAGCACAGCGTTCAGTGTACACAAAACAGAGTGTCGCATTACGCCGCCAACGCGGGCCCTTCTTATTTTTATTTTGTCAAATTGTAACTGAAATAAACTGGAGTGAGTAATAAAAATACCATCGGTACTGTTATTGCAGCGATCTCGAAATAGAGGTGTCATGGCGTCGCCCCTCGCCATGGCACTTGTCGTGAGGAAATGTTAATAGATAGGATGTAACCGGCGGATAAGAACATGTTCTTGTTTTCTTTTCTGCGCGTGCGACGCGTTTAGATTTCACGTAGGGATTTTAGGATATGCGTTATATTTTGGCGATTCAGTATTACTTTGATCTTAATTGATATACAGATTGTTTAGTTTATACATTTTTATAAGCTTATCAATAACTGTAGGGATTTTCCTCGTGAAGGATTTTAAAGGTATTCCCATAAGAATCACAGTTCTGTAATTTAAGATATAACTTGTGACCTAGAGACCTAGATTTTTATTATTATGATGAATAATATATCTTCAAGGTTCAAGTTAATAGGTTGCTTATGAGACGACGTGCTCCATCGTAGACCGCATCATCGCTTACCACCAGGCGAGATATTGGTCAAACGTCGGCCAATCTAATATAAAAAAATATGGTCCACTGCTAAACTATAACCTCGTCTACAGAGGTTTGTCATTATAAGAATCGTAGCAAATGGAGTTTCATAGTCTCTGCCCCCATGGGAGACGGGCGTGAGGTTATATATGTATGCCGTTATATTCAGGTGTGGCGGGTAGGTTAATATAGGGGAAGAGTAAGGATAGTAACAGATATACTCTGATCTGCCGTTAGCTATCTAGTGTTTCTAAGTTAAGTGAACCTAAGAGCTGGCATTTTCCATGATAACAAATATTATTTTTATATGTCGTTAGTTCTGACGACAAACCCAAACGATTTTAGAAGCACTACTTTTTACGAGTTGCTATAAATACTGGAGTTGTAACAATAAAAATTTACAGTGTACATAATTATTGCGCCCACGCCGCCGACGCACTAGCCCTGCGCGTACGCATGTACTTTTATTCTGATATTTGTCATAATCATATATTACAATAAAAAAAACAGTTGCTTGCTGTACTGTATTGTGGGTAGGCATTGCAACTGCTTTTTTATAAATATATTTAATGGGTCAACATTTGACCACTATCTCGCCTGGTGGTAAGCGATGATGCGGTCTATGATGGAGCACGTCGTCCCATTAAGCAACCTATTCACTCGGGCCTTGGAGACACCTAGGTATACCCTTCAGGAAATACAGACTCAGGAAAAGAATAAAAGTAAGAATAAAGTACAAGGAACCTTGATTGATTATTTGTTTTCAATACCAGTAACTAAACTCCCTTTGGTATGTCATGCCACTTTCCCCTGAAAACATACACAGTAGGTACATGAGAATTAAGTTTCGCCACTTTATGTTTAAGCCTCGAAAGAGAAGCAAAAGCGAAGTCATAACTCCCCCTTTTTACCAATGAGCCCCATTTAATAAGAGGTGACCCTATTGCCATATCGGGTACATATCAAAACCAGAGAAATCAAAAGTCTCGGGTTCGATTCCTTGCCTCTTTACACAGATGTCCTAAGAGACTGCATTAAAATCGACGATAAGCTAATTGTAAAACCCCGCATAAGTTTACAGTCAATCCTATAGCTAATAATCTCAAAATCAAAACCTAAAACAATGTTATTTCCATAGAAATAATTACGAAAGCAATCAGACACAATATTGAACCCATTCACAAGTAAGTGCGACGGACGCAAAGACAAGTCATTCCTTTTGCTGTAGTTATTAAGTCCGAAATAGACCCGAGTCGTTCACCCGCCGACATATTTGGTTAACTTGCTGTTTATATATATCTGCTTTATTTTATATAAGTGGGTAGCTTGGTACCTACATAGGTGAATGTTCGTGGTGACACGGGAACACGAGATGGAGTAATGCGTTCCTTTTCTAGCTACTTGAATTGATATCTTTTTCGACGTGTAGTTGATTTAAAATGTTATAAGAGAAATGGAATTGCATCAATTAATGTTTTTTTATGGCATAAGCCGGTAAACAAGCAGACGGATAGCCTGATGTTAAGCAATCGGCGTCGCCCATTGACACCTGGAACTCCAGAGGCGTTACAAGTGCGTTACTGGCTTTTTGGGGATAGGAGTTCGAGGATCGTTGGGGATTCAGGGATTGGGGAGATTGGGGAAGGGGAGGGTAATTGAGCCTCCGGTAACCTCACTCACACGACGAAACACAACACAAGCGTTGCTTCACGTCGGTTTTCTGTGAGGCCGTGGTATCACTCTAGTCGAGCCGGCCCACGGCCCATTCGTGCCGAAGCATGGCTCTCCCACACTCGCTTTATATTACTACTAGGTATATACTATTTTTTAAATAAGGACAATCGTTAAATGACTCCTGATGAATCCTGAATGAGGAAACGCCCCCGTTGTTACTGGCTAAAAGTAAGACACGGGACCACAGTAACAACTTACGTTTTACCCAAGACAACTAATTCAAAAAACTCCTTAACATTTTACTACTTGAAAATAAATACTAACATGTGGGTACATTTAGATTAAATTTTTTTAAACTACTCTCAAATACTATTTGTGCATTACTTAGACAGTTAGGTTAACTAGTGTTTGTGATGATTAATTTGTCTGTTATTAACAGCTGGTTCAATAACACTTTGCTTCGTACAGTGACAGTTTATGTTTATAATTTTGTGCAATATGTATGTAATGTGTGGCGACTGAATGCCTACGTAAGCTACTTGCGTAGCATTTATGTAGTGATGAGTTCTCAGGCAGTAACAATGGGTTCCAATAAATCTTCAGATCAGGTACGCATTTATTTTAACATAATTATTGATATAAATGATGCTTACTATAGAAACTTGTACCTTATTACTACCTAAAATAAGCCACAAACTCGTAAACACACTTTTCTTCATACACAAATATTGCATGCCAACAACCACCACAAATGATTCCATATTCATTTGTTTCCAAAGTTCCAACCGCCACATTTACGAGCATCAATCTTACACCAGCCAGCACGCGTTACCACAGGCGCCATAGCCACAGATAATATAACAGATAATATCAAACAATAAACGCAAAACAATCCATAAAAATCAGCTTCATTTTAATGAACAGCGATCGCGTAAACAACATAAAATATTACAGGAAAATATAATAAAAATATCCGTGAAAAATGGGTCATAGAAATAATGTAGGGATTCAATCAACGTTGCAATTCAGACGCCACTGCGGACCCCGGGCGACAAGCCAATAACTAAAATGTGTAAAAAACTATTTTGTTTTGCTCCAGTATTATTTAATTTCATGTTACTATTGCGCAAATGTTACCTACGACACATCGCCTACTGTTTCGTCTGAGTGAACACTTTATATTAATCTGGCTCGCCTCCAATATAATAACTTCTTCATATTTTTCACTTCATTCATTAATGATCAACTGAATTTTATTGATGGACTTATGAGATATGTTTTGCGGACATAAATTCGACTTTAATTTCTGTTTTATACAAAATATTATCGCCTCAGTTATCGTGATTTATTTGCCTTATAAATTATATTTGGGATGTTTAAAACGATATATTAATTTTATATTTTCATTAATTTTTTGTGAAAATTGAGAATTTTAAGTTTTATTTTTATGCCACTAGCGCCATCTTCACGCTTTTCTTCTAACTACAAACATAAATACTGGGTAAAACGCCACCTAGCGGGTGCGTGTGTAAACTCAGATAGAGCTTTAGGTGAAACAAGACCAAACTTGTTCACAGCGCGCATCTACTAGTGCCTGCTGGTTTCCGCTAGAGGGCAGCTCTGTTCAAGAATTAAGTTTGGGAAATACTTTTTTCGATAAGCGTTAAGTGATTGCTTTGACAGCAGAATGAGAACAAGTACTATGTCAAGTAAAATGCGTCTGGTTCAATTCTGGGTTGCGTGAACTAAGTACTTGCTTATCTTTCAATTTCGATATTGTTTCGGTATTCGTAATTCAAATAGGAGGAATTACTTCCATCCTTATTTACATTTACATCCTTATTTTTAAGCATCCTTGTATTCGTGTTTTTCTGTGCAAGCACGTATACGCTTTACTCCATAAACAAAACAAAAATTTAAATATCACCCTTGGACATGTTCCGGATGGAAGTTGAAGTTAGTCAAACCTACTCATTTCATAGCAGCCAGTATCCCAACCACTACACCGCCTTCACATAGACACAAACCTTCCTACATACCTCGGTGCACATGTACTGAGCTAGACGCGACAAATACATAAAAAATACGTAATGTATAATTAAATGATAAGACAATAGCATCAGTTGCCAGCAACACTTTGACAGATCAATGCCGTATGAAGCGGAACCATTGGCTTTCCACGTCCCATCCATAATTACAAATCTAACAACGTCACTATTTAAGATAATATCAACCTTATATCGAAGTAGTATGGTTGTATTTGAGCGCAGAGTTAAAGTTGTTACGATGTGTACTGGTAATATGAAAATAGTTTTGGGTGTACGAATATAAAGGAGAGTTTCGTTTACATTGTGCGTTTTGTATAGTTCCCATGTAAATATACGATACTTTACGAACAACTATGAAAAGGTATTTCGCTAGATTCTGTTTTTCAAATATTGACCTTCGCCTATAAACGCGTACATATCTTTTTCTCATAATTAAAAGTAGTAGCAAAGTAAAGAAAGAAAAAAAAGAGCGTATTCCTTTTTAAAAGGCCGGCAACGCACTATGCCTCATCTGGTGTTGCGGGTGTCCATGGGCGGCGCTGATCGCTTACCATCAAGTGATCGGTCTGCATGTTTGCCTCCTATTCCATATAAGAAATGTAGCTAAAAACATACAATAGCCCTTTTTTCGACAATTGGGTATAATTCAGATGAATTCTGTCAATATACATTTTTTACCGACGCATTTAATGGACCAAAGTATCAAAGATTTTAATATTTCAGAAAGTAGACTAAGAAAACCTTTAGTCCACTTTATTTAGTTGTAATGCACATACACATAATGTAGAAACATGTACATGAAAATTTCCACGTGCCATAGTAATTTGTATCTAATACTACATAATTTACAGTCCATAGTATTTTTCCAAGAATTCATTATTTATTCATGAAATCGATATTTGTAGGCAAGAAAGTTGCATAGCTAGCAGTAGCTGATGACACTTCGATATGGTAAGTTACAATTCAATATGGAAATTTCACATTTCATTTGGGTATGGGTCAATTAATTACGTGATTATTTTTGTTTACAATTGAACATAGGCATTTCACTGGTGGAAAAGTTCATAAGTCCGGAAAAAGCAGTTTTCTGAGTCGCTTGTTTACCGTAGACTGTACTTTTTGGTATTTATTTAAATCTAATCTTACGTCCATGGCACTTTACAATATTTTAATTGGTTCATAATGCTGTTTGTAGTAAACTTTAAATGACTTGAAGGACTGTTACCATAAATAGACACATAGTGTGAAACTAATTCTGAAGATAAGTGAAAAATATTTTTGTTTTAAACTTTTCACGCTACGATGGTTAGAAGAGAAATCTAAATATTTAAAGTGTAGTGTAGACAAGTCGATGTACATCTCCCACCTGAAGTCCTCGCCTACATCCCGCGGCTCCCGCAATACGCGCCATTATTTTTAGCGCGCAGCCGCCGCGCAGTCGAGCGGCCGTCATCATCACAATATTATGCACGCTTAGTTACTGCCACAGTGATAGTGTTAAGTGTATATACAGTGAAATGTGCGACTTATGACAAAGGCTCAACCACCATGGCTCCTCACTTTAAGCGATATAAACTCCGGAGGGTAAGACTTGTCCTTAAACCCATTTTTTTAGGTTATGTTACCCTTTCATCTGTTGCATCCCAACCTTACCTAACAACATATTTATTACATAAATTCTCTACTTCTGAATGATTATGAATCACATATTTTTACGAGTTTTTCTAATAAATACTATGTATACGTGTCACCACAATGTTGCCAGGTATTAGTTGTGTGTTGCCAATTTCGTAAACGTTAATTATTGTGTGAGTTGTAGTAGCACATTACGTCGTCATGAATTTATTATAATATGCTAACAGGGCCGGGGTGTTACTCGATGTTACATTGGCAGACAGACACACTGATGAGATCTATTGAACAGCTATTTTCATTATTTGTAAGTCAGTCTAATGACGTATGCGCTTTGGTAAATATTTGAGCTTGAACGAACTTGAACTCAATCGTTTTCGTGCTGTAATTTAGAGTGTAACAGGAAGCTTGCCTTGATAATATTGTCAATTACTTTGAATTAATTCACGTTGAGGTGAATAGATTGTGTTAAGAATGGTTTGAGTTAGTAAACCGTTTATGAGTTTATGTTGAGATGATGTCTGATAGAGGGAAGTGGACAACAATATACACAGTACCTTGGTATAAGGACAGGGATAAGAATGAGAGTACTTACATTTCAAAGTACTTATTCTCGAGCAATATATACCTATAACTGTCGATCTCCTGGAAATTGATATTAAAATAATCACAAACAAAATCTTAATATCGTTTAATTTAATACTTCAGTATCGATTGTATTGCAGTTATATTTGAATCCAGTGGGTAAATCCTCTTGAGAGCAGAGATTTAGATAACTGTAAGCTTGTTTATACCAGTCGATACGTAAATAGAAGTTATTACTTTTATATGGATGTGTTTCTCATTTAATGATGAAAGTAGAATGTGGATGTTTAAATTGTATTTAAAAACTACAGATCCTGTATTGCAATATATGGCTAAAAATATATTACTTATAGATATATCCCTGAACCGATAAATTGAATAAGATTAACACCGAAAACTAGTCTAAACTGTTCCGGCTTGCAATTTATAATAGTAAACACAACTATCGATCTTAAAGGAGATGGATATTTTGTTCAATCCAAGTATCGAATCAGGCCTCAAGCAAGGAGCTCGTATTAGCAACCACTCAACCAACGAGGTACGGTAATCGAATAAAAACACAATGTCATTAAATACTTGCGTGTACCAAAGTTCGTTACTCAAACAAAGTTGTTCAATTTTCAGTAATGTCAGGCGATGCGTGCGTGATGTAAAATCCTGAATTTCATGAATGGCGCGTGAGTCATGGCTGTTGGTAGTGTAAGTACATGGTACACCGAGCGAACGTACACAACACGTAAATAACGTAAAACGTAAACTGAACGAGATGTTGGAATTATGTATTTAGTTTAATTATAATTATTTTAGTGATTATGATGATAATAATATTGAGTATTCCATTAGGGTTTTGTCGTTTCAAGTTACATGTTACTAAAGACTACTCTGATGACAAAGGACTAACATTTTTTTTTCAAACTATATCATTTTTCTTCAAGTGTATATTATATTGAATTGTATACGTTCATTTATATTTACATTAAATTTTTTTCTATGAAAGTATGAGGTCGTAATTATATTTCTCTGTGCCTAATTGAGGATTAATTGAAATAATGCTTTGACTTTGACCTTCGTATTTATATTGAATTAAGTAATACTAAACGTATTCTATTAAACGAAGCTGACACCTTTTTAAATAATTATCACTGACTACAAGTTCCTTTATCATATTATTAATCGTAACTTTCTATTTGTTGACAATATATATATACCTATTTATGCCATCTAAGCATTTTTATTAATTCCCTTCCTTATTCTTGATATACTAAAACATCTATGTCTAATTAACAATATCTAATTATATCCCTCTCAATATCCTCAACACTTGGACCTCGTCCATATTTTGA